TTAATAAAGATTTTTTTTTGAAGATGACGTACGTGAAATTTGTTCTAATACAGTGTAAGAAATGCTGTCTGTAACACTATTTAATTTGGTAGGAAATTAGTTGGAGTTTGTTTCATCAAGACATCAGAGTTTTATTAAAGAAAAAATAAATAGAAAATGAGTTGTTGAATCATTGGACTTTTGCGATGCTGTAAGAAATATTTCAAAACGGTATTTTACCTTTTATTGACTGACGTATAGAGGTTTAGTGTTAAAAATGATTCGGTTTAAATTGCCGGGCAAACAATAAATTCGAAGAACATAAATAAATTAGCATATTTAGATTACTGCAACGTACGCAAAGGATGCCCGGGAATTTTTGTAGAAAATAATGCGAAAATTTCGAGAATTAAATTTAATCGCTCCGCAGAATTTCTGGAATAAATTAATAATTTTGTAATCAAAATAACTCGCAACGAATTTGATATAATGAAAAACTTCTATTTTCGGAATTTCAGGAAGAAACACTCGCGCGTTTTACGTTGTAAACAGCATTATTTTCGAGGACATACTGTATAAATAATTCATCGAAACAATCGTCTTACGTAAGAGCTTCATTTTCTAAAACAAATTCCGAATTCTCTTTATTTTGTTGTTTGGCGAAAATCCATTTTCTAAGTCGCTTTTGTTCCTCTTTAGGAATCCCTAGGCGATTGATATATAAAGGGGGTTGATGTGAAGGCTCCGACCTTTTGTCTTCGTTTAGGGGTCGTTGCCATTGGAAAATATATCGGAATTTAAGGGATATAATTAATCGAATCCTCACAATATTCACCATTAAAGTTGCCATGGCGATTACGATTACCACGGCAACCAAATAAACAAGTTTTTATACGCATTTGAATTGCTAAAATGTATGAAAGTTGTCGGGCGATATAATTTAAATTAATAAGTTTGCGATATAATGGCTGTGAATTTGAATTTTATGTTAGTGGTGAATAAAACGCTTCATCAATTCGAGCAAAAGTAAGTTGTGTATCGGTATGCAATATAATAAATCTGAAAAGTGTTACATACTTTACACTCGATTAACAACAGACGAAAAGTAGTACAAATAATCTCGTACATGTAATACAGAAGAGGAAAAAAAATGTACAAGGTAATCCGAAGGACATCTCGATGGCCTCTAAATTATTTTCAAACAAGCGATGTAGTTACAGTTAATCCTAACCAAAGAACTGTAGATACGGATCCATATATATTTTTTATATAACAAACCTAAATTCCCAAATTCTCGCATACGTTATAATTAAACCCATCGGCACATTAGGCCGGCTAAAATCGACCTCATTTCCTCGAATTCCTCGAATTCCTGCGCTCCTAAGGTGTATAATTAGCAATTACGCAAGAAATTCGGTACATTTTTACCACCTAATTACCGCATAACAGTAGTTTACCGATCCATTATCGCTCGGAAATTCGATCGCCCCGGTGAAAAGTCCATTTAACGAACTCTCCTGCACGCGCCTACGCCCGGTAATTAATTCATTTGCCGAACGTCAGTCCTGCAAAATCATTTCCACCGGATTTTAACGAGTATTAACGTGCGTTCGCTCAGTTTACCGGATTTGTACAGCTCGCAGAAATCCTCTATGGACGTGGAAATGTTAGTTACAAACGCCCAATATCGTGTAATTAACGCAGAGGTATTTAGAACTCGGTGGCAATTCATAGGAAGATTTGTAGCGAGCGAACGGTTGGAGTAATTAATTCAGTAACTTTAGAGAGTTAATATTTGTTGGAAAGAGTGCTTTAAAATAGTAACACTCGGGGGGATGTCGAGCGCGTAGAGTCGAAAAGAAAAACCCATCGCATTAACTTTTAATGTATTCTCTCACGTCTGTTAGTTTCTCGAACGGACTGACATAGCTCGTCTGTAAAAATAGTAAATCGTTCATCTAAAAGTGTTCGCCATAGCCATCAATTATCGTAAAAAAAACTCTCTTATACCTGCCATGCACATGCAAACTTGCACTCAATGTTCTGCGACCTTTCATCAGCGTCGACTCACAACAATTTAACTCACACATCAAAAATTATTAATTAGAATTATTTAGAGTAATAATGCGATAATGTATGATGATCTTGCGAGGTGCGAGGTATGGATAAGTTCAGTTTATAATCGCGTTTATTTTCGATTCTTTAATGGGTTAAATTATTCGCGCATAAACTCTTATTGTAAAAGTATCGAAATAATTAATAAGTGAATAGAAAAATATTTAGGTACCGTCACTGATTGGTTTGAGCCATTAGTCAAAGTTAATCCGCGATTAATTCCAGTAAATTAGCCCACAGACGGCCGCTATTGGATCGAGAGCCGTAAGAACGATAGAAGAAATTAATGATTTGCTATTTTAGACGGTCGTTTGGAAATGCGCGTTTTCTTTTAGATGCAGAGAAACGGAAGTTTATGGTCGCGGCAAAAACGCAACTTCGAGATAAACGCAACTTCTCCGGGCTTTAAGTATCGTTCTAAGAGCGACGCTTCGCGTGATAGGGCTCACTAAAAGCGCCATTAAAATCGAGAGAACTCTTCGGGAATTTCGAAACCGGCCTCTAAAAATAATGGAAATTTCGACTCTTATCCGGTCGCTTCCACGAGTTATTTTTATTAGTGGTAGAAAATTTCCTTAAATTATTAAATATTCGTACAATATGAATTCTATTTTATAGCGCTTTTGACGAGATTCAACGGCCGGGAGAAAAAAACCAAAAGGAGCATCGCGAAAACGCGAAATTTACGGCTTTATCTTTTTATAGCGCCGTAAAGTTTCATTAAAGCTTCATCAAAAATTCCCCGATATTAACAATGTCTTCCTGCGCGCAATCAACGCACCTCTACAGGACGTCCCAGCGAAAGAAACGTTTTAATAAAGGGAAAAATTGTTTTCTGCCTTATACAAAGAGCGCATGAATCAAGCGGAAATGCACTCGCACTTGTCGATTGAGTTATTCGAAGTTCTGAAATTCTGTTTGCCGGTGATTCACCCAAAAATTCGCAGATGGCCGTTTACAAAGAATTATTTGTTTGCATTTGCATTCATTAACAAACAACTAGGTACACATACAATGGGTATAGGGAGTACCACAAGTGCGAGAAAGAGCAGTAATATGACGCATATAGCGAAACTATATTTTGTGCTTGCATTTTCAAATTGTTTAGAATAAATATAATATCGAGCGGCCGCAAAATCGAATCAGTAATAATAATTTAAACCATAATTCGTTCTCCCGCTAGATTCAACAAACCTCAAGTAACATCTGGAAATTCATTTGATGCATGTACAAATTCGAAAAATTGCATTATTCGAAAAAAAAAAACACGCAATGATTGATATGCAATAAATGACGAGTTTCCGAATTGAAATTTAACGCTTTATTAACGTGGAAAATGATACAGTCGAATTAATTCGTGCCGAACTAACAAAAGCGATGGTAATTTTAATTAAATTACTATTTGTTCGAAATTCTGCATTATGAAAGCTTCCAAAAACAGCACGGATTATTTTTAGAACAAACAATCCAGCTCGACTAAAAAGCTCCTCGCTAACGAAAGCTTTGTAGCCGCTTTACAAAAACCCTTTTTCGGTTCGTTTACACGCTGATTTTTCGATAAAAAAAACTGTTTACACAACTCCGAAGTCGTTTAAAAATATTCTATTCCGCCTAGGTCAATGTGTTTCGACCTCCCTCGACACGCCACCCCGCAACCGTAAATTAGTGCCTAACCGAATCACCATTTCGAGCGAAAATCCGAGAGTCTCTCGTCATGAATGAGTGAGAAGGTTGGGGACACACATCCACATATCGATTACCGACGAGCCGGCTCCAGCCCGTCCGCCGTTCCAACCCCCACATTCGTCGAATTCTCTCTACATTTTCAACGGAGTTTGCTTCGTGAAACGCGGGCGAGTGCGGACCTGCGCTAATTAGACCGAGGGGTGGCACCCCCGCGTGTGCATGCTGCACACTTGTCGCGCGGAGGCGGCACCCCCGGTGTATGTGTGGAGGCGCTCTTCGAGCCGGTCTGGTTTCCACGAAATTGATAATCCATTTATCTGGTGGTTAAATGCATTTACGGCCCGGCGATGGAAATAGACGAGGCCCGGTATATTTTTAATGATCGAGGAAGATGGGGAGAGAGGGAGAGCCGGTCGGGAGTATTTTTAGACGGGCCGTAGGGCGTTTTTTGGGTAAATAAAAATAAGGCGAACAGATTTTCTGTTATCTTTTCTAAGCGGGCGTCGCGACGAAAATACCGCTTTGGTCGGAGTTCAAAGGGGTTCTTGATGTGGGGAGTGTAAAAATATGTTCGGTAACTGTCCGGGACAGCTTTCAGATTCTACTGATTTATTTAATTTTTTTTATATTTACTACCAAATTCGAATATTCCTCGAATTATCTGCTCGACTGCTCTTTCAACAATCTACTTTTAAGTAGATTTATTAAATATTTTCATATTCTTTCTTGTTTTTGCAAAAATTAATTTACATTTCTACGGCTTTATAGTCCCCTTTTTAACAACACCATCCATCACTTTTGCTTTTACTCACCGCAACAGCCTCTACGAAACGAAACCAATTAACGAGAAATTTCACTCGTCGCAATTTCCATTCATTAAAAAACCCAAATTAATTACGCAATTTCCAAAATACCCTACGAATTGTTGCATCGATAAACGACAAAAAATCGAAATTAAATAAACGGATGGGATAAGCAATTATTAATGAGTAATTCCGCTCTTTTACTTAGCAATTGAAGCGTTTAAGAAATAACCAAAGCTAGGTAATATTTCGTGTGTATAAAACGAAGATGTACTGTTAATTTTGTGAGTGTGCAGGCATCGAAGAGAGGTCCTCCCGGGCGGGCGGCCTCGAGGCGAAGCCGCGACCAAACTGAACGGAGCTCCGCGAAGAAGAGCCTCCGAGATGCCGGAGTCGAGTTACCCCCGCTAGGCCACTATTTAAACTTGCCTCTCGCAGAATTGCACGAGTTAACGTCTTACCGCCGGCCGACTCGATTTCGCGCTCTCACATGCTCTTTCGCGAACACACTGTACACTAGTGTCCTCCGCTCTATCGCCCGGTGATCCTTCGAAGGACTAAATAGTGCTGCACATCGGCCGGTACGAACGCATCTGCGAATCCTGCAGCTGGGAGAATTTTTTTTTTGAATTTTTCGAGGCGATTTCGAGGGATTTTTATTGAGGTAAGTGAGGTGCAGTGATAAGTGTTGTAGTGATAAGGTGGATTTACGTGCTGCTATATATTTTTTTTTAAATTGTAATTTCTCGTCGGTGGGTTTTTTTTTTCGATTGCAAAATAGGGTTGTGAGAAATGCGATTGAAATTTTACACGATGGGAATTTTTTCAGTACGAAGCAAATATTTTTCTAGCCACACGTAGAAATCTAATATGCGATATTTTACTTATTAGTCAAATTATTTGAAATATTAGAAAGGAATTAGTCGAATATTAAAATGTGCAATATTATCAATAATCTCATATTAAACGATTCGTTCAAAAAATTTATTCGATTTATATATTTTTTTTAATAATTTTAGATTATTTAAACGGAATTCGAGTGTAATTTAATTCGATATATAAATTCGAAATAAATTCCAACAAACTCGAAACACCAAAAATCTACTCCACAATTTCTAAAATACTCTTAAATTTTTTGTATCGAAATCGCCAATCCATCAGACGAAACCCTCGTACTTTATAATTGCCCGGCTATATTAATTCCGCTCGTAATCGTCCGAAGACAATCGCAAATAAATTTCGAAAACAGAAAAAAATAAAAAATATCCCCGCACAGTTATAGATGAAGAAGTACCGAAGAGAGGAGCACGGTACGTATCTCCCGTGCCATGTTCACATGGTAGTGACCTCCATGAAGCAGGTTTGCAGCGGTCACTACGAACAATTTTTTCCGTCTGATACATTGTCGTCTAAAACGTATTTGTATAGTCAATATTTATGTACTGACTATTTGTATTTCAAACTGCATGTAGATTTTGTATTCTATTAATATTTATTTACTGTTTTAAACGGACGGGACTTTTTCGTCTGGCCGGATTTTTCTTTCTACACACACTAATTATACCCGTCGCGAATTTTCGATTAATTTTCGCTCGTTAGGAAACGGTTAGAAAAATTTAGTGGAAGGTTATTTATCTTCGAATCCCGGCACGATAATGACCTACTGTCTCGCTGGACAAAAAAATTAGATGATATCAAAGAAAACTCGATATACATATAGGGATACGCGGAGAAGAAAACAACGGTCAGTCCATGTCAAGAATGCCAATATACTGTTGTACAACCTACGTAAAGTTTAACGTTTGCACTTTACGAGAAACGCACGGCCGTTCGTTATTTATCGAAATACGTATGTAGGAATTATCTTCGCAATCTCGCCGTCTAATCGCTTAATCATTCCCGGCGCATCCGAAATTAGTATTACTAACTTGTTTCGGTCGAAACCGCGCCCGCCAGTTTACCCAAATGTTCCGGTTACCTAAAAGATTCAACTTTCTCGGCCGAAATTCCGCGACATCGACTCGATTACATCCACAACTACTAATCCTATCCGATTATCAATTCGTGGTGTTTACAACTATTACGAATGAAAAGAAATTCCGCGCTTTGTCGGGGGTTTCTCGGCGGCTGGAAATGCGAAATCCCTCGATGGAAAATGGCTTTCGTTAACCTCTCGGTGCGTTACGGTTACGGTACTGTTCGCGATGAAGTACTCTTGCATTCGCCGAGGATATCTCGGCGAAATCTTTCGACTTCGGTTCGCTAAAACACGTGAGAACGCCTCGCGACCGATTCGAGTTCATTGTTACTATTAGTTCGCGGGAAGGAAAACGGGGAAAAAAGTCGAATAGAAACGCCGATTTATTCGCGAACTTGTCAATAATAGCGTAACGCTATCCGAAAGGTGCGAGTTCGGAGGTTTCAAAAGGTGGGATTGGGATAATGCATCGTGGGAAAAAGCGCATGTTTGCCGTCTCGTTGGTGCTAGCACAGGGATGCAAAGTGTGTTGGCAAACACTGCGGAGGTATATCTTTTCGAAAAGAAGTATCGTTTGCTTTTACCGGTTGAAAAATGTGTATAAAAACCGGCCGGACTCGCAAGCAGTCGAGAATTCACTGGCATTGTTTCGAATTTCCCTCCTAATCGCGCTCGATTCACTCGATTAGTGGATTCCTTTTGGAGCCATAATCGCGACTGATTATTTCCTGCGTAGGGTTTCTTTCCTTCGTTTAATAGTTTAATTAACCGGTTGAAATTTATTGTAGCCATTTCGCGTTCCCGTTGATACACTTGGATTATAAAATATATTATAAGTATTAAAGTAACTAGTATAGCCTTGCCTTATTGCAAACCTGCATAATTTTCAGTACGACCGATTCGGTAAAAAAACGCCGATAATTTTATATCATTTGCGTCGAATTACCCAAGATGCACTTTTCATTTAATAAGCAGGTTGCGTTCACGTTATGCAATTTCTTTCGGAAAAACCAATTAATTTACTAATTATAATGCCAATAAAAATAAAGGGATTTTACGAACACAACTTTAGTTGTACGAAAGTTGTCGAAACCTACTTCGGAATTGTTATAATGATAACATAAAACCGTCTGTAGTGCTGGTTTTATTAGATAATCAACATTTTTATTATCGCGTCTTTTATTATTCGGAATACCGGTTAGGTGGACAATTTTCAACAGTCCTGGTTCACCTAGCAGAATTTTTATACCTAAATAATTAAACATTTAACCCGGTAAACTCTTGTACTTTGTGATAGTTACCTCAAAAATATTCCGAGTCGAAAAGTAAATTCGCGTTAATTTTAGCGTTATAAATAGGAAGAGATCTAACGTAAATACCAGGTTAAGGCGGTACGTGATTGAACTAAATTTGAATAAAACCGACGGTTTTCGCGAATAAATCCCACATTTACGTGAAGTTCATTAATCTGCCCGACAACGAGCCGGGAATATTAATTTAAACTGATAGCTATTTATTACTATCGACTGTATACAAGCGACGAGCGATCGCCCGGAGCCGAATCCATTCGTTTTTTTCTAAATGGAAATTTCATTAAACGCGGAAATCAAATCGAATATCACCATATTGATTTTTTCAAACGTTTTCCATTAAACCTTCTCCGACACATTTATCGTTATAAAATGCCCGATTATTGCGTAAAAAACGATTCGTAACAGGTTATAATGCCGAAACGATAATTGCATTTCAGTTGCTCCTTCATCTAAACCGGCGATTTTACGACGATCTGTCGTGTCGAGATGGCCGTAAAGGCTTTATGTTTCATTTCGAAACCGAATATAAATCCGCTCATTGCGATTTATCGCTTCATTTGCCTCTCTCGCGCAATTCCAACTCGCCGCGCAGTAGGCCGTGCCACACGTTTAAAAAAAATTTTTTTGACGCTAATGACAAGTGACGTGCGTCGAAATTCGGTGTCGTTTGCGACTTAATTTGACGAAAACGCGATCGTGACTCGACTGACTAAAAATAAAAAAACGTCCTCTCAGATTTGAAGATATATTATTCTTGTACCTCCGCGGCTGTTCATGTTAAACAGCATTTTTACGACCGGCCGTGCGACGACAGCTCCGGGAAATATTGTTCCGGAAACGGAGTAGGTTTACATATAAATAAATGTGCCATTTTGAACCATTAAACAGTTCGCTTCGAATCGGAATATACAAACCGCAAACGAATCCAATACAGTTAGACGATTCTCCAACAAACCATTGACATATATGACGTTGACATATTTGACATTTGAAATTTGCTTACATAAAACTATACCCAATATAATTCTAACAAAACCATTGATATGTGACCTTTTTTGTATGAAATTTGACGTTTTATATATGACATATGACATTTGTAATTGACAAATATGAATCTTGAAACAAATTGCTTGGTATAATACCGTATTAGAAACGACTAAAAGTGGTATATTCGAAATGGAAAGTGTATTTCTGGTGTAAACGTGGTTCTTTTTAAAAAATCCAGACGATAGTGAAAGTGAACAGACCACAAATTCCCAGCGAGCGGCCCTTTTACGACTAATTACGGCCACTCGAAATGTTGCCGAACATCCGACAAGTTTAAGGCCGTAAAAAATGGTTACAACGACCGTATTCTTCCGCTGTTGTTCACTCGAAAGTTCAAATGAAAAAATAAATGGGTTATTTTAGAATAATGACACCTTTAATAACGCTACTTTAATCTATCTAAAGCTCGATTAAAAGCGCTGAAAAGCTTAGAAAACGAAATTTTTGACCGCCTAATCTGGTCGCTGATCCTACATACATTAATTATGTAGGAGTTTACCTACCTAAAAAAATCCGGTTCCATCGAATTCCATTCCGAATTTGCATGATTATCGACAGGAATTGAATATTTATGGTACATCTCGCTATAGGAGGCGACGTTTGATCGTAATTTTCTCGAAATCACTAACCACCTCAATCGGTTTTCGCTGGAAAAATTACCATATCAGCGTTTGGCGACCCGCTAAAGCAGGAAGGTGGTAATCGGATGCTAAAGGTGTCAGTGACTTCGGTCACTTATAGAAAATCGCCGTGTCAAATGAATCACGGCGCAAACAAGTTCGTAAATGCTTTATTACGTAAAGCTGGTTATTCATGAATATCGAGCCTTGAATGCATTCCTTCGATACATTTCGCGACCTTTTCTTCGGAATTCCCATTGCATCATCGGTCGCCCGAAATGTTTTAACTGCTTCTATACAGGCGAAATCCGGTCGCGGGTCCTTGGGAGTTTACCGAATTTTCAGCGGATTTCGTTCCGCTTTTTTCTTGCCTGTTACCGGCGCAATAATAAAATCGTAAATTTATTTACGGCCTATTATTGAACGGGAAAAAAAACGATCGTAAATTTCGCGTATTTTGACAAACTTAATCTGCAATAACATTCCGAATTAATTGCCGCATTGTTCCAAAAGAAGCCGGCACAATTAAATAATCTCGACTTTAAACCAACATTTACTCGTTGAATTCGGAAGCTTTTAAAAAAATCTGTGGTACTTAACGGGCGCTTTGCATCCGAATGAGTTGAAAAAACCTAACTGTACTAGCATCCGAAAAAATTTTAATAGCACGCTCCGGCGATTGCTATAAATTTTCGTAAAACAATACGAATGACACAACCTTGATGTATACGAAAACGAAGAGGAAGAAAAAAAAAAGCGCTTCTCGCGTGGATTTTTTCGAGTACCGTTACAGACGAATTACACGCGAGATGTACCATTATTTCCTTAATAATAGGGCCCGGCAAATCGCCGCGTTTCGCTACTGACAGACGCTTTTTATCCACTCGAGTCAACGTTCTTTTAGCAACAATTTTCGATCCTTAAACAAACACTCGAGGTTCTTTTTCTCTCGTTACGTATCCTCCCGGAGATTTGCATATTAAACGGCAAAATCGAATGTTTACCTAACAGTTTTCGCGAAACGCTAACAGTAAGCCGTCATTAGCGATCCGCTCGTTGCTATTCCACGGAAAACGCGAAATCCTACACAATTTCGCGAGCCATTCATTACGGAATTCGCTATTAATTTTGCACCGAACGATTCCCATACCCATATCCATCGAAGTTACCTAGAAAATTCTATTGGAAACGGCACGTGGTCTCTTTCGAAGCATACACTGCGAACCGCACAAAAGGAGCATTGTATCCGATGGGTCAACATCTGGCGGGGTTGGTACCGGTTATACCTGCGACAAAGCCGCTTTATTTCTCGGGGAAATAATGTCCGGAAGGACGCCCCAGAAGGATGTTTGCGCAGATAGTAAACGTAAACTTTCGAAATCTCAATTAAGCGCTCCGAATAACCGCGCATTTCTCTTCGCCTATATCCAGATAGAGGCTCGACTCTAACGCTCTCCGGACGTAAATGGGTCTAACTGTTTCCACTCGGCGTTATTAAGAGAAGCGTTTCGTCGGTAGGCAAGTTTAATTAACAAACACACACACACACACACCTTAACGGTACCGTACGAGAATCTCGCAATATATTCAGACATGCTTGATTAGATTAAACAAATCGCGCCGGCTGTTAATCAGGAGAGTAGTCTCAAGAAGCCAGTGGTGGAGAAATTCTACAATTATTCTTCGTTAGCAATGTAATCTTGGACATTTTCATTAACATCTTCTTCATGCGCCTCTTCAATATCTCCTTTAATACCTCCTTCAATGCATCCTTCAATATCTTCTTCTGTATTTCCTTCAATACCTCCTTCAATAACTCCTTCAATATCTTCTTCAGTATATCCTTCAGTCTTCAGTGTTAGCTTCAGTATCTTCAACAATTTCTCCTTCGGTATCTCCTTCAATATCTCCTTGAACAAGGCTTTCCAAAACTTCGAAAATCCCACCAATGCATAGCCAATTACTCGGAGATGAATTACGTTAATTAATGAGTACTGGATGAATTATTAACGCGTTAAATAAACTAATTTGGTACGTCGCTGGTGTGAGGATCGGAAGATGAGGAACGGCCGGATGATCTACGATCTACGATGGGCTGTTATTAGAGCTATTTTCACAGTACTGTGACAAATTTTACGACCTGTGGCAAATTTCGCAATCATCCTCAACGCGGTGTAAATTCAAATTGGCGTAATCAGATGTAATGAGAGTTATCCGTCGAGTTTAGAAGCTTTCGATTGCTAATAACGAAGGAAAAAATAGTTTCGCTTAGAAACTGCTTGAGAAATTGAGCGATTTATGAAAATTTTGAATTGTTTTTTTGTTGCAGGACGCGCCATGTCGGCGTGGACTCGATTGCTGAGGGAGCCCGGGCCGGTGCTGGTCCTTTTCGTCCTGATCCTGGCGCCGCACGTTGCCCATGCAGGTGAGTCCGCCGTGTAAAATCGATCGAACAGCCGCCGGAATAATTTCCCATCGATGCATCTCGAATTCTAGAGGCGCATTGCTCGGGGATTTCCGCGGAATTTTTCTGTAAAAATAGCCGCGGAACGAGCAATGAAGGCATGAATGAAAAATTCCGCGCTATGAATGAATCCGGCGATTCTCGAAATAGACGCGACCGGGCAGTGGCTACTCGGCCTTCCACGCGGGTGCGTTTTATTATCAATTCCAAGTACAAGATTTCGCAAATGTGGTGTATTGGTAATTTCTTGCAACTGAGTCTTCTTTGAATTATGCTTGAGTTATTGTTTGTTATTCGATTGGGAAATTTTAGGGGATATTTTAGGGCTAAATTATCGAGTTATTTGCATCGAAAACTGAACAACGTTCGATAGGTGGTCGAGCCTCTTCCGACGGTCTATCGGAATTCCCGGCACGGTCGAGTAACAAGTAATCGATTATGCATTGTGTGTAGAGACTTAACATGTGTTCTATAAAATGCCTACAACTCCATTTACTGGTTCACGTACCGAGTAACCTCGAAAAAAAAATATTGCAATTTCGTTCTAGTTCAATCGAGTTAGCGCTAAAGTAGGCGCCTAAACTAGGCGAATTGTTCGACTTGCGGCCTTCGCGGAGAAATTTTCACTTTTGATAACCACTGTAAGCCCGATCGAAGCCCGTTGGAGTCGCTCGAGGAGCTCGGAACAATTTTGTTTCTATTGCACGAAATAGGGAACGAGATTTTCCAGCGACTGGAAACTAGAAGTACAAAATCGTGAGCTATTTTTTTCTGCTTCTATTCTAGCATTATATTCTTCAGCGACCGCTCGAAAAATCGACAATACTGTCGGATCGTGATTATGTAACAGCGTTTACTGTTAACCGGGATATTGCAGGTGGAATGACTTGACAGCGGGATTGGATTCGATTCGATACAAAAAAAAACTCGGAATTAAAACTTCGTGATCCAGTCCAATATGGACGATAAATACAACGAATTTGGATATGCAAACTCCCATCGATAGTACTCATATAACGATAAAGTAATTAAAATATCGTAATTAATTCTATTATCCAACGACTAGGAAGGTTAAAGTGTATAAATAAATAACAGATTTCGTTAAACGGTGTCGAAAAACTCGTCCTCCTTCGCCTTTTCGCCAGAAATACACGATTCACCGAAAATATGCGGGTCTTCTTTGCATAATCGACAAAAATATCCAATTTCCGTGCGATATGAATAAGAAATAAGTTGGTTACAATGAAGTTACATAATGACGAATAAGAATTGATTATTCATGAACGATTCGCAGACGAATCGGTGATAAAACGAAGGCGGAAAAAAATCGGAGAAGTAGGCAACAAGAACAGGCGAGATATGCGCATAAATTAATCGTTTACATCAATAGATTTGTACTAATTTTTATCGAAAATATGGAGGATTACGACTCGAAGAATTTTACTTAATAATGCAATATTTGGATACGAATCGCTTAAATTTGTACTGAATAGTTGAATTAGTTGAGGCTTTGGTAAAATTTGGTTCTAAGCGGTGTTGCCAATTGTTAATTTTTCGATAGATTTTAGGGAAAACAACAAATTTTAATTGAATCAAGGGTTAAATCGACATACTTTATTACCATAATATCATAGAGAATTGTGCGTTTTATTCCACTAATTCCCATCAAATTCAATCGTCGACTTTGGATCGGATCATAATGAGATACCGATCGATTCGACGCGAGATTAAAGTACGTAATTAGGTTCTTAGGTGGGCCTTTTGCTGGAAAATCAACAAACGTAATTCCTCAATGGTACCGTAAAAATCCATTCGATCGAACCCGACCGCAATCCGCCGGCGAAACGCGAACAATTAAGCCCCGCTGACCACCCAGCTATCGTCGCTAACACTGGCGCAAAATCCGACTAGGAACAGGCCATTACGTAATTCTATTATTAGTACGAGTTCAACAGGTATTCTCCGCCCTCGGCCGTTACGCGAAAGCGGCGGGTTATTTTCTTCTTTTTTGCGCCGGAGTCGCTGCTCTCGCGCCAGCAGGAAACCGGTAAAATTCGTTTTCGATTTCCATGGGTCATAGAAACTCCTAAAATCATCCACTTCGAGTAGGCGAGATGTGGACTTTTATGTAACTTTGTTACGTTATATCGACTTTTCCCAGCTCTTGTGAATGTATTTGTAAGCAAACTACATCATTTTGAAACGCACCAGAACGGATTCTTCTATTCTGCACGCAGGACTAAGTCCGCTAATTCCGGTGCTCGGTTCTGTTGCAATCATTAAATCGTGCTGGATATAACGAAGTCCGTGGTAATGAACTTAACTTCGTATATAATACGTTCGCTGGAATCGTTCGCGGGAACAGGCCGGGCGTTGTTTATTCGAAAAATCGGTTTAATTGAACGAAATTTAACGGAATTTAAGCGAACGAAACGAAGCGTTTAGTTCAAACACATCGAAAAACAATATAAATTATCGCCGCCCGCGAACCGTGACCGGCCATTTAACGTACCGTTAAACCCTATTGTGTCCATCTAGCCGAAAAATTTATTCCGAATAGCCAAGCGCTAATTAAAAATTGGAGGTTAATTAGGCTAATTTTTCAACATCTAATAAATCTTGCACCCCGCGCTCGATAAGCGAAAACGCCTGCTTCATAAATAACAATAAATAATCCCACCGCAAATCCTCGGTGCATTGACTGGAAATAATAAGCGGGTTGTTATTGCTTTTTCGTAACCGATACGCCGCTATTTAACGTCCGCGCGTTAATAAATTCGAAATTCCTGCGGTTTTTTCGCTGTACAGGCATACATTACGGCGATAATTCGAATGTTTGGCAACAAAACGCCGAAGATGCCTGCGTAATTTCCTATTTACCAGACGCCCGAGCTCGGAGGGAATATTTTTAATTCGTTATGCAACCATTGAAAGAGACATCGTTCGATCGGAATCGCGGTTTAATATGGTGGAAAATCGTTGTATAATAACGTGTCGATTTAACGTTTGAAAAATTGTTGTATATAGGAATTATTTATGAGTTTGGTATTTCGACGTTTCTGGTGAATCGTTGGTATACTGAGGAAGCTTTAAAATTGGAATTTACATAGCCGAATTTACGATTTGATTCGTTAATAAATCACGAGTTAAAATTATTAACGCTATCATAACAGCCTCACGTCGCTCTTAATTCATTAGAAAATAAGCGCATAGGCGAGATTAATCGCCTATATGCAGCATCGACTCCTCTAAATCCATTTAATATTTAATGCACGCAATAAAACTTCTACGCCGGCGCGCTCTAATATATTTATTTCGAGTGCCAGTTTATCACTAAGAGGTTTTTCGTATGCATACATTAAATCTCGAATTGGAAACAATATGGTAATTTCGGCGACATTTAACCCGATGTTAATACGCAATAAAAACCGATGTAACATTCATAAAATTTAGGAACGTTATATCATTATTGAAATGCGATTTTTTTAGGATCGAATCCCGAGCAAATCGAGCACAACAAAACCGCAATCCGTCATGTCGTTATTAATACACTTAACAGGTATATTTCGTAATTTATTAGATGCCGTCGAGATATGAACGGACTAAAAATAGAAACATGAATGAATTATTGTCCTACTAATCTTCGACTCGCGATACCACTTACTCGCTCGTTATTTATCGCCGATATCGCAGCCGCTAAGGAAGCATTCGGCTTGGGACAGTTTTTGCCAGTACTCGCTTGATTAATTGATTCCGCTTTAATGAGGCAAATCGGCGCGATGTCATTAGGAAAACTCCAGAGAGATCGAACAATATCTATCAAATTTTTCAGGATAACTATACAAAATCTCTATACAAAATCTCTTGGGGTGCATAATTCAATGAAACAGAATATTTGATGTGGAAATGGTGTAGTTTCTGCAGGAAAGTTTTCCTCGTGTGTAATATTTGCAATTTTCCTCGACTAGGAAACTTTGAAGTTTAATTCGACTTTCGAAGTTTAAAAACTCGGTATTATTTATTAACTTTCCGCATTTTTACCCCCCGACGGGCTGTAAATAGCGGGTAAAGAATTTATTGCATCGCGCAAAGTTCGTTGAAATTGCGCCTTTAAATCAAAAACGCAAGATATTACTCTACAACATGCATAAAAAAAACTTCGAATTCTACAATCACTAAAGCAATATTTGAGAAAACACACATTCTCCCAAGTTTTATCGATAATATACCGTTTCCATCATAAACCAAACAATTCGCCCATTAACCTAAAAATTTTCATTCATCCGAACTATAGGAAATAAAACAACGACACGCCATTGTGTAACGTGTTTACACGTTATGGGCTATAAAAGAAAACTGTTTTTCTTTTGTCGCGCCCAACCAGCTGGTATTAATCGAATTTACAAAGTACCCTCTTTATTATACAATTTAATCATCATCTGTATATCCTTACAGCTCCCTACGAAGACGAATCGTACACGGAAATCCAGTACTATCCAGGTAACGTTTTGCTACAACTTCTCGAATCCCCCCGTATATTAAAAGGCCTCGTTTCATTTCCAGTCGCTGATGCAACCGGTTGTTACTACAATTTCGAGCACTACGACGAAGGAGACAGGATCATCACGAACGAGCCATGTCTGAATTGTACCTGCCACAACAGGATGCTCATGTGCTACTTGCGGGTGTGCCCCTTCACGAAGGCCATCGGCCAGGACTGCAAGGTGGAGAAGAAACCCGACCAGTGCTGTCCCGTCATCACCTGCCCCGAAGGTAAATTCGCTCCTCTTCAAGTAAATTCACTCGCTCAATTCGGATTCGTTCCAGTCCCCGTGCAAGTGTCCCACGACGCCTCCTCATCGACCCCATCCACCGCTCTAGGACATCTCAACGAGTACGGCTGTTCGATCGATAATTTGTTCTACGCCGACGGTGCTAAGGTCCCTTCGAACCCGAACAATCCCTGCGAGGTGTGCTACTGCATCAGGAACAAGACCGCCTGCATCATCCAGGAGTGCACTCTCACCGGACGCGTCGTCGAAGGCTGCAAGCCGGTGTATCTCGACGGCGTTTGTTGTCCTCTCCGATACGATTGCGGTAAGTTTCCTTCGCAAGCTTTCCTCTTCGAAGGTAATAAATTGTGCTCTTGCAGACCATCCGCAAATAGAGACGACGGCGAGACCTTTGCTCACCACCACCACTCCCAATCCGACCACTCTTCTACCCACGACGACTCTATCGCCCGGTCAATGCATCTACAACGAGGAGATTTACGCCGACGGGGCGGTGGTTTCGAAGGATCTACCGTGCGGGAAATGCTACTGCATGCGAGGCCACATCGTTTGCGCCGTGCAAGAATGCGGCCCCACTCCTCTGGATAAAGTCAATTGTACCGCTCTACCGGTCAAAGAAGGCCAATGTTGTCCAGACACCTACGACTGCGATCTGATATCCGAAGAAGACCTCACCACTATCACCTCCTACGTACCGACCACGCAACCCACCGTAATTAAAGAGGAAACAACCACCGAAAGCGAAACTAAACCGGAGGAGGAACCAACCACGGCTTACGTACCGATTCTGCAAGACAGGAACAAATTCGAACCGGAGGAAACCACGCCACAACCGGCCGAAACCACCACCGAACCGGCTAAGACTGTCACAGAAAGAATCTCATCGGCGATCACCGGTTTAGTGCAAACCATCACCACTGCGCTGTACGAAACCACCGAAGAACCGAAAGTAACGGCTTCCGAGGAAACCGGCAAACCCGAAGGCACCACTGAAGAGGTAATAACCGAGCAATCGGTGGAACCCGAAGAAATCCCGAGTCGCGACCACGTGGAACCCGAAGGGGAACAATTCACGCCTACGGAACCGGAGGAAAGCCACGCGGAATCCACCAAGGCGACTCCGACTGAAGCGGAAGAACCGGAAGAACCAACGACGGCTAAAGCGCACGAAGCTGATGTTAGAAAACAGGAGATTACTACGCGGAAACCAATCGAAGAAGCCACTACGACTCGACCGGTGGTTACTACTGGTGTAGAAGAAGAAACCAAACCGACGGAAACCTCTAAAGAGACTGTAGCTTCGGAAGAAACTGTTGGAGAAGTGGAACGAACTAAACCGACGACTGAGTCGGAAATTCCAGCGACTGAACAACCGGAGAAAGAGGTGGAACCGACTGAGACTCCGCGAGAATCAGAAGAACCCGAACGTACTGAACAACCTAAATCAACTGAGGAAGATAAGCCGACTGAAGAGCCTAAGCAAACGGAAGAAGCTAAACCAACAGAAGAGCCTGAGCAAACGGAAGAACCTAAGCAAACAGAAGAACCTAAACAAACAGAAGAGCCTAAGCTAACAGAAGAGGCTAAACCAACTGAAGAACCAGAACAAACAGAAGAACCTAAGCAAACAGAAGAACCTAAACAAACTGATGTGACTAAACAAACAGAAGAGGCTGAACCAACAAAAGAACCTGAACAAACAGAAGGACCGAAACAAACAGAAGAACCTGAAGTAACAGAAGAGCCTAAGCAAACGGAAGAGTCCAAACCAACAGAAGAACCTGAACAAACTGAAGGACCTAAACCAACAGAAGGACCTAAACAAACAGAAGAACCTAAAGTAACAGAAGAGCCTAAGCAAACAGAAGAACCTAAAGTAACAGAAGAGCCTAAGCAAACAGAAGAACCTGAACAAACTGAAGGACCTAAACCAACAGAAGGACCTAAACAAACAGAAGAACCTAAAGAAACAGAGGAGCCTAAGCAAACAGAAGAGTCTAAACCAACAGAAGAACCTGAACAAACGGAAGAGCCCAAGCAAACGGAAGAGCCCAAGCAAACAGAAGAGCCCAGACTAACAGAAGAGTCTAAACCAACTGAAGAACCTGAACAAACAAAAGAACCTGAACAAACAGAAGAACCTAAGCAAACAGAAGAACCTAAACTAACAGAAGAACCTAAGCCAACAGAAGAACCTAAGCAAACTGAACAATCTGAGCAAACCGAAAGACCCAAAGCCACAGAAGAAACTATACCAACCGAAGCTTCTCAAGTAACAGAAGGTGTTAAGCCTACTGAAAAATCTGCTGATACAGAAAAACCAACGGAAGCAGAAGCACCAGTACCAGTCACTACGGAGAAACCCGCACCTACGGAAGAACCCAAAGTAAGCGAAGAAAGCAAACCGACGGAAGAACCGCAAACAACCGAAGGAGTTAAAGCAACCGAAAGATCGAAAGAACCTGAAAAGGAAATCGAAACGACAACGCCGGAAGAAATAGAAATCGTAACCAGCGGTCCTTCGGAAGAAACGGAAAAGCCCTTATCGATGGATCACGTAGCTGAAACAGGCAGCACGAAGTTGGCTGAAGAAAAGACGGAAGCTCCCATCAAACCATCCGAAGAACCTCACGAGGAAACTACACCTGCACCCGCCAAGGAATCGAACGATATACCCGAAGTGTCCGAAGTATGCACCAAGGAATCCTGCGAGGTGGTTGGAAAACCGGTCGAACAAGAACCCGAAAAAGAAACGGAATCGAACCAAATACCTGAAGGTCCGCTCAAGGAATCCGAAGAAGGTGAGAAAACAACAGAAATTTCTACGCGAGGAAAAGTGCCCGAAGAAACGACAACCCAATCGGCAGAAACAACACCTAAGACAGAAATCGAAGAAACTACTTCCAAGAAACCGATCTCAGAAACCACCGAAAGCGAACCTGAAAAGACCACCACTAGGGCAGAAACCGAACCAGAAAAGGAACCAGTAACAAGCGTACTAGCAACTACACCTAAGGAAAAACTCGACGAAAACATCCCTGATGTTACAACTGAAACTGCACCAGAAACGACGCCTAAAGAAGAATTGGAAGAAACCACTTCTAAATTACAGCCTACAGAAGCTGTACTTCGCGACAAATTCACCGAGCAACCGATAACCGCAGAAACAACACCAAAACCAGAAATCGAACAAACTACTTCGATAACAGAAGAAACCAAGAAACCATTAGAAGAACAACCAACAACTCAACCAGCTGTCAAAGAAACAACCACAATAAGCTCCGAAACCAAAGCGACGGAGCCCCAACAAGAAACAACCACATCACACGACGTTAGCGAAAACGAAATTCTCACTGAGACTGAAACTCCAGCAGGTCCGAGCGTGACAGAAACGAAACCATCCGAGGAACCTATCGTTAAAGTGACACCTGAATACGAAACTACAACGAAAACTGGAGAAGAAAGGACCAAGGAACCGGCTGAAGTAACCACTGCATCTTCTGCGGAAACCACAACTGCAAGCGAAGAAGAAGAACCAGTCAAAACAACGCAACCGGAAATTCCTTCTCCGACCGAGAAACAGCAAGAGGAAACTAGTCAAACCAGCGAAGAAGGCGTTGTTACCACCACGGAACTTCCATCTTCTGAAGAAGATTCATCGCCGCACTTTATTCCTGGTGAAGGTAGCTGTTTGGTTGAAGGGAAAACATACAATAATAACTCAGATGTGCCAGTATACAACCCTTGCCAATCATCGTGCAGATGTGTCAGCTCTATAGTGAGATGTAAAGATATTTCCTGTCCTCAACCGCCTGCAACATGTAAAGTTATTACGCCTAAACCTAGAGGCGTCTGCTGTCCTGCTTGGAGTTGTGGTAAGTACCTTAATAATTTAGCTCTTTTTCTAATTACTAACGAGCAATGATATTTATTGCAGACGAAATACCCGAAGTAGTTGATGTGGAAACGAGCAGTCAAACGATTGAAGTAACCACAGCAGAAGAAGGTTCTGGTTCAGCGTCTACGGAAAAGCCTTCAGCAACTGAAAGTACCACGAAAGAAGAAGATGAAGTAGAAGAAGGTTCTGGTTCCTTGCCTACCGATCAACCCAAACAACCATCTGCAGTTACTGAAGAAACCCTTCCAGGTTCCGAGGCAACAACTGTTCCTGCTAAGATTGAAACCACAACTGAAGAAGACTTGACGAAACATGAGATACAAACACCGGAAGAAACGTGCACTAAGGAAGGATGTGTACTGCAGCAAGCAACACCTGAGAAGCAAGGAGAAAGTGAGAAAATATCACCAACAACCGAAACCGAAGTTAAATCGGAGGAAACCACTGAGCCGTACGTAGAAACAGCATCGAAACCTAGCATTAAAGACCGAGTTTCGGAATTGGATAAAGAAACTACTCCACAAGAACCTACGGAAACTGAGAAACCAGCAACACCAGAAGAAACTACACCTGCAGTAGAAGAAACAGGAACTACTCGAGCTGGTACCTTGCCATCAGAAACAACCGAAACTGTACAAAAAGCAACCACGGAATCTCCAGAACAAGCGGGACCTTCAGAAGTAACAACAGAAGGATTGCCGGCAGAGGAATCTAAACCAACCGAAAAAGCTGAAACTGAAACGGAAGCCCAACCTGAATTGTCCGAAAGCACCAAGATCCCAGAAACAACCTTAGCTTCTGTGCCCGAAAAAGAGGCTTCCACAGAGAAATCCTCACCAATAGAACCAGTAACTGCCGAACCTATTGAACAGGTTACAGAATCGCAGGCACCTATAACAAGCAAACCCATGGAATCCGCTGATCACGTAACTGAAGCTAAGGTCGAAGTGGAGACCACAACATCAGCCGTTACAGAAGAAATATTGAAAGAAACAGAAAGAACTGTAACCGAACTTCCCGTAAAAGAAACTCAAACACCTAAAGTTGAACAACCGGAACCCACAACGTTGCCTGGAATTACAAGAGTCAAGGATATTTCGACCGAAGAAGAGGAGAAACTCGCAACAACAGAGAAACCAGAACCTGTAACTGACAAAGAAGCCGAAGTTACTACACAAGTGTCGAAAGAACCACCAGCAACTGAGAAAGAAGAAACTACTACAGTTAGAGAAGAACATGTAACAATCGAAGATAGATTCCCAGAAGTAGAGAACGAACCCGAAATCATCGTCACCACGGCTAAACCGGAACAAACCACTGAACCTCTCGTTAGTGAACCTGCTGAGGTAGAAACACAGCCAATTCCGCAATCCACAGAAAAAGCAATCGAAGAACAACCAAGTGAGAAACCAAGCGAAAGTGTTACTACCGAAATTGGTAAAGATGTAACCGAACCAGCGCCGGTAACCGAACCCGAAGTGGTTACAGAAGGTAAAATGCGCGACGCAGAAATTAAACCAGCAGTTACACAATCCCAAGAGGCAACTACACCTCAACCATCTACAGAAGCCGAAGTGGTAACTTCAGTTTTGGAAGAAACTACAACTAAAGCGAAACCGGAGCAACCTGCCGAAGCAGAAACCAGCTCTCCTGTCGCAGAAACCGCCACAATGCGCGCCGGCGAAATCCCCGAAACCACATCTCCCGAAGTATCTATATTCACATCGCCGGAGCTCGTCACCAAGAACGACACCAGCCAATTGTTCACCTCCGGACCCCACGAAGCCTCGACAACGAAGCCTCCGGTCGAAGGTGAACTGTCCACCTCGGTGCCGTTCGCCCAACCCACCGACGCCCCCGCCACCGACAAACCCCACGAGGTGCCCGGCGAGCACGAGCACGTGCCCGACGTGCCCTACCCCGGCGACGACTACGACGACGAGGAGGAGGCCGGCCCGCTGGGGCCGGGCACCTGCCGCTACGGCGGCAAGGTGTTCGTCTCGGCGCAGCAGATACCGCGCGACGACCCGTGCGACTTCTGCTTCTGCTTCCGCAGCGACATCATCTGCCTGCAGCAGAGCTGCCCGCCGCCCATTCCCAACTGCCACGAGGAGCCCATCCGCGGCTTCTGCTGTCCGCGCTACGAGTGCCCCGTCTCCATGGCCACCGCCTACAACGTGACCACCACCACCACCACCACCACCACCACGCTGCCGCCGCACTTCATGGCCCACGTCAGGGGCCGGTCGGCGAGGAACGGATGCCAGGTCGACGGGCGGGCCTACCAAGTGGGAGAGGTCATCAGGTCCGCCTCCGGGCCCTGCATGCACTGCACGTAAGTATCTCTTATTACTCTTACCATCTTGAACCAATTTCTACGAGTTTCAATAACGCTTTTAATTTATTAACAAGTTAATACACATTAAAATTAGCGATTGAGGTTAATACATCTGACATCAGACTCAGCTGTCATTAACGTCAACTAAAGAATATAAAATAATGACAGGTCTCTTCCGATCTCTTCCGATCTGCTCCGATCTCTTCCGATTTCCGATTTGGCTGCTTCGAATGAGGTTTATTGATGTATTTCCTGTTGGTTTTAGGTGCGGCGGAGATGGGCAAATGAAATGTGATCCGAAACCGTGCAGTCCGGAGCCGATGTTGAGGCAAATGTTCGCGGCGGCGACCAGGAGGAGAAGATGAACGGACGATTAAATGTTAAATAGTGACAATGCGGCAGAACCGTGCAAGTGATACAGACGATTTTATGAAAATTGAAGAATATCTAGTGTCCTCGAACTATTAGAATTAAACGTGCGCCGGCGTAAGCGAGTCGATAGCGATATGCCTGTTGTAATTGCAATGCATTATTCGAGGTGGTACTTAATTTATTGTTCCTGGTAGAAGGATTTGCGTGAAATTGAAGCGTTATCGGCTCGTTTATCCCGGCTCGGGTACTACTTAAGCAAGCATTCTTGGGTGCCAAAAAAAACGGACGTAAAATAGGTTGTTGTGCCTTTGTATGGGGAGAAATCTCGGAGAATTCTTTGCGTATAAATTGGTGCAGTAAGGGCGCGATTTTTTGCAGAAAACGCGAACGTATTACTCGACTATGTAGAATACTAAACGTGCTTTCTTCGATTCGGTAACCCGTCTTCGAATTAGAGAAAAATAATCAACTTTTTTATTGTCTTAAAAATGTATCATTTCGAATTTGTTTCGTTTATAAGGTCTCGGTGTTACCGGATCAGCGAAAGCATTCGTAGGCTATCGGTAGCGAACACGACTGAAGAAATTTTACACTTTTGTAATTATACAATTTTTGGAGTGTCGTTTTATTTTTATTTTATGTTTGAAAAGGCCATTTCTTGTACTAATACACGTCGGCTCTTTAATATTTATATAATATTACGATTTGTGTTGCGTATCCCGAATCGGTCTCGGTTGTTTGACTAGCAGAAAAAAATTTAAAATCGTTTTTTTTTTAGTTTTTTGTGTAGTTAAGTAGATGAAATGGTAGAAAACTGATTTTCTGCTACTTGAACGCTTAGACTATTACTTGTATATTTATGGATGCTCAATATTATTAAGTAGAATATGTAGTATTTATCAATAATAATGAATAAATTGTGTAAAGAATATTAGGTTTGTTACTTACATTGAAATTCACAAAAAGGTTGCTGGATAATGCAAACAGTAGAAGATGATAAACTATTATTACACTATGAATATCCTACAATCACTTTAAATACCTCCCAACTTGTTTATAAATGTGAAATCAGAATTTCAAAATATTTACTATTTTAGAAATTTGCTGAATACCCCATAAGGTTTAGACCACAATTTCATACTTGTGATGTTAGCCACAGTTCCATCCTGCCAATGTCAAATTCAAAAGTAACTTCACTTTTTTTCGTATTTACTAAATTATTCTGCATAAACATAATAAAACACTCTTTCTATGTGTTATTATATTCAAAAAATTATTCCAAAGATTATTCCAAGATTCCAAATGTCATAGACCACATATTCATACTACGAAGTTAGCCACGATCCTGTCATTAGTGTAATGTCAATGTCAAATTCTAATTTAACCTCGCTTTTTTTCGAAATCAACCAAATTATCCTGTTAAGCAATTTAAATTTAAAATGAGTCGGTTAAATTGCTAATTCAACACACATGGCTTTATCGAAAAATGCTTTATCAAAACTACTCTCCAAACAGCAATTTATCACTAAAAGAAACATCGTTACAGCCGGGATAATAAGTAAGCAGAAACTAACGTACTATCCACTAAAAAATGCTATCGACTACCAGTTATAGGCGACGAGGTGCTCCGGGGGCATACGAAGGACACGAACTCCCATTTCCTAGCCAAAGAAATCCGAAAAACGGGCGTTCTCGTGAAAAAGGTTTGAACGAACGGGTGTTTTATCACTCATAATCCCAGCACGGATGCTTACAGATATCGGTCGTAGGCGATACTGTACCCGAAGTGGCCGCCGAAGTGCGATTATTCTCCACTACTTTCCATCATGTAGTCACATCCGGTGGAATCGGACCAACACACGATGATATCACATACGAAGGTTCGTAAAATAGCACCACTTGAACATTAACAGTACATATTTATTGTTCCAGCCGTCGCATTAGCTTTCAACCAACCGCTAGTGTTGAACGAAACTTTAAAAGAAATTTGCCAGAAATTCTACAAGACCAAAGACAACGAGGCTCCGGGCATGAAAATGGCATATGTAAGTCTGCTACATCACCGCGTATATCCCTAATATTCAGTATAGACTTTTAGATTCCTCAGCAAGCTAAGTTGCTATTCAGGCACGACGATTTCCAGGAGCCTATGCTGTATCCTAACGTATCAGTGCAGAACGTTTACATGTTTCCGGGCATTCCGGAACTGTTGAGGAAGTCCTTCAATTGCGTGAAGGGGGCTTACTTTAAGTCTCCCGAGCGGTTTTATACGAAAAGACTGTATGTTAACCTTCCCGAATCGCAGATAGTGAGAATATTAGATAAAATAGTCAGGGAGAATCCTGATGTCCAAGTAGGATCTTACCCTAAGTTGTTCAACGAGTAAGAAATTATTGTGAAAATGTAATTGTAATTATATTGATGGTTTGTTTTAGGCAGTACAAAGTGAAGCTAACTATAGAATCTTTAAATGAAAAGAATACCAAAATGGCGTTTGACAAGCTCGTGGCACTTCTGCCGAAGGAGCATATTGTCTGTGAAGATGACGTAATAAACGATGATTTATAGAAGATGATGGAATAAATTGTGATAATAATTACTCTAGAATATTACAAAATATGTTGTAATTTTGGGTTTTTAGATGCAAAAACTCCGAAAATATTCAAGTGGAGAGGTTGTATTGTTTCATAACGTATCGATGAGTATTAAACGAACAGTGAGAACTACTTATTTTATTATTTATGAACTAATAATTATGAAAGTAGTTGCGTAACCAAATAGCCTCAAGAACAGAGACCTTAGCTTGATTAAGAAATGACATTGACAGCTCATTTATTTGATCTTTTTGAACTACCTGTCACTTCAGTGTATAATAAAATAATAATAACAACACTATTGTTGCCTAATAAATGTTGTTATTTCCATTTTATACAACTAATTATATCTTAAAATATTAACTAAACACACAGCAACTTCTCAACAAAGCAGGCTATGTTTGACGTTTCTCCGCTAGATGTCACTAGTGCCTCCACTTCACACCATTTTGTTAATTGACTATGAGCGTTGTTATTTTGGCTAATTTTTATGCTTTACTTATAGTTATTAGTTAATTATCGCGAATATTAGTTCATTTTAACTAATATATTCTCGTTTAGAAGTTTGCCAGTGATTTGGCTCGCGTTTAAATCCTATATTTAAACTTTTTCACAAGCGCTCTAGTTACCACAAACATTTTGTAATTGATCTATTATCAACAACTGCAGCGATTACAGGTAAGTTGATAGATTATAAGTGCATGCTTAATTGAGTAATACACTCGTATAGATGAGAAATCTTATTTGCCATAATCACTTCGATGATCGTAATGTAAACATAACCTCACTTGTTGATCTATGTGTCCGGATGAAAATGTGTGTTTTTTATGTTTTATAGTTATTTAAAGTGGTAATTTTAGTTTCTTGGCACTCCTGCGTATGTCTCAAATGTATATTTTATTATTTTCAACCTGTATTTATAGAACTGGGTTCCTAACCTATAATCTGAGTTCATCGAAGAATCTGTAACAAATGTAGGTTATTTCAGGTGTTATTAAACCTATTTGTTTAAATAATAAAATCTTGTAATGATTCTTAAATTAAATTTATTTATTAATGCTTGTTCATATTAATGTGTGTATTAATTAATGAATTAATGTAAACTAGCAGCAATTTTTAGTATACAGTAATTAATGAACAGGATGTTGTAAATTGTAAATATCCATGTAATAGTGTCATTTATTTATTATTTTATTTCATATTCTATCAAACGAGATCTGCTTATTTATTTATCCAACATCTCGTATAGCATTTAAATGGTTTGTTTGGGTTTTCCGTTTTGACTTTGTTTACCGATACTATTACATTTCGCTTTCCTAAATAAAACATTCCAGAAAATGTAATCTAGTTTCCTCTGCATGTACCTGCAACTAAAAACGAACAAGTTCATTTATATTTTCCTTCCATAACGATTCAGTATATCCTTGAATGTCCACTAAATAATGTATCCGGCTTCCTCGAGGGAAAACATTTCATTTATTCGGGAATGCCTTCATTTTTCCCGAAGTGGACCTAAGAGAATTACTTGATACAGATTAAAAGAGATTGGATACTCTGATATTCCGAGTGGATTCTTCGTTTGTTTCAATTTTTTTACCATTTTTTTCCCTTATTATTTATACTTTACGTGTCGACGAGAGCCGTTTTTTATTTCGACGTTTCATTAGATGATAGTGTTTCATTGCTTCGGATTGCTTTTATTATACACTGCCCCTTACATTAGCAGTGCCGTGGAGATTGCTTATTTTTTATTATCTCATTTAGCTCCTCAAGAATCGATAGGGTATTGAAGAATCTACCTTAATTGTCGAGTAAAATTGTATACATCTATTCCATGCGTATAATTAAATTAAAATTTTACAGTGCGCTCGGCGATAAATCATCTTGGAAAATTGCCGTTTGCGAGATGTTTATAATAGCATTATTTCGTCCTGTCGGCCGATCGTTTAAGATTTCGCAGAAAAAAAATGGCAGAAACAATGAGAAGCGATAAGAAAGTTTAATATTTCCCGACCGTTTACGGAGGCAAATAGTCCGGTCTAGTCGACTTTTTTCCTATTTATGATCAGTTTCTTTTGAAAATTCCCGGGACGAGTCCTCAGCGTCGGTTGATTTATATTGTCGCCGATAATGTTTTCGATCTCGTTGTCACAAATCAAAGCGACATTATGTCTCGAATTAAAATGTTGGACATAAATCAATGGCCATTGTCTGAACCAGTATGTAGATTCTAACTGAGTAATGGTGGCGGTTCTGGACAAGAACAGCGCTCCTAAACTGTACCTTTTGCTGCTGGTTTATATAAGTCAGTTACACCTTTCCGCCAACGGTCGCTTTTAAATTATACATTACGCTTATTTATTTTGGATTAACATAATTTTTTATATGCGTTGTAGAATAGCGCCGTTTAGATGGAAAGTTTTACTGTAGAAATTGGGGTGGAAGTGAGCGAAAGGGAAAAATAATAAGAAAAAAATATATGTTTATTATGAAAGTTACACGTGCCCTTTTTAACCTACTATAGTATTAAAGGTATCCTACAACAATTGATATTTATAAACATATAAGAATTTTATTACAAACAATCAACTACTAAATGTTCTTAAATTATTTCAACATTAAATAATGTATAGTTTTTAAAATGTTATATTCAATATTATGTAATATATTAAGCAATCCTAAGCATACACTTATATCGCCTTCACTAAAACCACACCGCCCCCTCGAAGAAAAGTAATATTAAATTTTTATAAGAAGGAAAAAAAAAGAAATAGAAAAGTCTTTTCCGAGTAATATAGGTTTATGGCCTCCATCTGCGAGATTACTTTAGACATTTCAGTAGAAAGTGGACTTGCTGTGCGAGAGAGGATGAAATAAAGGGAAAGACTCGAAAAAAATAAAAGCTGCAGTTCCTTCACGTGCCGTTTTTTTGAATGTTAGAAGCAGTTTTGTTGTTATCAAACGCAGACAAAACGCTCGAATAGTTTTTTTTTTCTGCATAAAGACAGCGGCGTATCGAATTGTGCGAAAATTCGACGATTTATCCGTTATTTCGCTAACTAGTTTTCGAGCAATTTCCCATGGAATGCTTTTAAAATATCGAACAAATATTGGAAAATAACTCGCAGCCGCCTAATTTTCGTCCAATCGAACGTATTTCGACGGGACTCGGGCGTAATTTCCTATCGCGCAATTAACCAGAAACGTTTTAATTGATCATTTTGCAAAAAAAATTGATGTCTACATACCCATTAGGTAAATCCGTATTATCGTGAATACCTTAAAAAATTTGAACCATTCAAACTTTTAGAATCATTTTTGCTCAAAATAATCGTTAAAATATTCCTTCTAATATCCGCAGTACTCCAGCGAAGTCATTGCAATTCTACTTCTAACTAATTCCCCCGAACATTCCGGAGGATATTCTCCGAAACCCCTTTCGGGTTCTGACAGGTTATTTACTGGTCGATCTATGCGATTTGTCAATCAGTCTCCGACTACCTAACACACTGGGGCGGAAAAGAGGAACAGTTCATCGGGCGAAATATCGGTTGAAATTTACTCTCTCCGTAACTGTTTATCCCGTTTTCCTATATATATACCCCGAATTTGCATACGTTAAGTTACGACTGACGATAATTCAACCCTTCCATAACTGTCAAACCTACTTCAACCGGTTACAAATTCGGATAAATAATTATGTGTTTTCGGATCGATTTGGTTACATGTTGATGTTTATAAAAGTTTGAATATTTACACAAAACTAATAGTTTATAAACGTTTTATATTTATTAATATCACCCTGTATAAACATTCAATTGTATCGAATTAACCTCCTCAATTAGGTAATTGCATTTTATTTACATTTAATTCATCAATTACGCTGCTTATGCCGTTCGTACGTCCAATTAAATTTTAGTTTGCGAGATTCTCCTCGAACGATTTGAGATAAATAAAAGTAATATAAAAAAAGCGGCGATTTTTTTTCGAGTTAGTCGATATACAAGGTAAGTTTTCGTTCGAATGGTTATCGAGTTTATTTAAAACAGGAGGTAAACTGGTAAACAACCGTCTGGATATGAAATTATACAACACAGTGAACGCGAGGTATGTAGGCTTACTGCACCATTGGTTCAGAGAATTTATTAATGCAAGGGAATATACAATTTTTACTTAAAGTGTATTTAGTTTTACTTATTTTTTTGTGGTAATTGCAGATTTATTTTGGGGTGGGTGAGTTATGTTGCCCTCGATGGTACGCATACTTGATATTACACGTATCTACATGTAGGTATTATAATCGTAATCGAGAAATAACTCGCGAAAAGTATTCGGAAACTTCGTTCGGGGTATTATAATTGCAATTTCGAGGTCGGGTCCCGTTCGGGAAGGGCGGTGTGCTGGGGAGGTTGTTCGAGGGCCGAGCCCTAAAAACCTTTTGTGCGAGATTTGCTTTATTTTTGTTAAAAACTTTTCTACTTTATAAGAACATTTCATTCCAGTATAAACTCACTTTTATCTTTGTTCCATTATTAAAAAAAAGTTTGTTCGTTGAAGATAAGGATTTTTTTTCTCGCCGACCTTCGCATCCAATAATGCCTGACGACAGGTCCGAACTGAACTATGATCTGATTAAAAATTAATCCAATTATGTTAGATATTATTAATTAATTATCCAATATAAAACTTCGTAATAGTGGTTGTAATGAAAAGCATATAAATTTATATTAGCACTTGTAGATATTTTTTTTTAAATTCAAATTGAGTTATATAGACATTACAAATAAATAATTTCCAATAATCGGTAAAAGTTTTCACCGACCGCCTCTGCACGAAACGAGAATATCCAATTTAATTTGGCGAGTTTACCCGATAACGCAGCGTTTGAACTGAAGTGATATTTTTATTTCAAATTCCGCCATTAGTCCTTTTGTTTTTCGGGGTCTTATTCAATTCGCTACGTCTTATTAAATTATTCAAACAAGAAAGGAATTGTGGCATATTCTAAAATTCTAAAGAATTTCGATTTTCTCCTCTCGCGTTCCGTTATAAAAGTTAAATGGAATGATACGTTCTGACAAGAGCATGGGGCCGGCATGAAATTTTTATATTGTGCATCAAAAGCTTGTAATTTCGTTTAAAGGCGGAATGAAGTACGCGAAAAAATGCCGGATTTTTTTTCTTCTTTTACTAACATTACTTTGTTTCCTTTAATCCCTATATTCTTTAATATTATATGTTACAATTTTATTAACTAAAGCTCGTTTTATGTAATTTTTTTACAACCAACCCACTACTATACACACCCTGCATAGTAAGGTATAATTTTAATTTTATTTGAAACGCCTTTAGATATTATTTTTGCCAGTATAATTCAAGACAAATGGCAATTTCGAGTTTTTAAAACGTCTCCCTGTAATTGCGGATAAAGCTCTTCCGTCTTTGTAGATTATTATCCGCAAATCCGTTTAGTTATTTCAACTAAGTATAGCCCCGACTCGGAATTTATACAGTCGTAATTAATGTTGCCTAATTCGGGAGCTTTTCTCGAATAAAGTCTAAACAATAGTTTCGCTAATTCAAAGAAAACTTTAAACGACGAATTCGTTTTGTAGCGGTCCTCGTCCCGTAAAACGCACTTCTCATTTCCGATAATGAATCTTTACCGAACCAGACAGGAATTGTTTACTTCAATATAGTTTATCCCTTGTGATGGAACACCGCCCTATTGTTCGGCTTCTATTTATCCACCCCGCATTTTAAGGGGAATCTTGTGTAAACAGTTTTCCCTTCCGGCGGAAAGGTATTTTCCTTAAACGCCAGGGTTTTTAGATAAATAAACTCGAATAATCCAATTCGAATCGTTGTTTTCTTTTCATAATTTCGCCATTATAATTCTTTCCGATGTTTATTCGAATCTTTTACCGTAACAGTCCGCATGCCGAAGGAGTCGATGTTTTGAAATAATGGCGGGCGAGGTGCATGCGCCAGAATTTGTAAATTTGTATAAACAGGGATTCGAAAATTGTTTCCTCTTTCTTTGGAAGTTGTCCTTTAAAAATTCTTTAGGACAAAGTTATAAATTTTCGTTTGTACGTAAATAAAGTTAAAATTGATAAAATATCGCCGAAGTTTGTCGGACGAAAATTGCATCCATGCATTATTCATTGTAAACCTAACTGTATCAAGAGTTTGCTAACTTTCCAAGATTACTTTCGTCGGATGTGGGGGAGAGAGGGGCGCGCAACGAACGTTTATTACTTCATTAGGTTTTTAATTACCATCGTAAATCAATTCTAATCAAACATTAAATGTGCTCTATAAGCAGTTTTTTCAGTTATATTTTAATAAAATCGTTCGTTCGATTTTCGAGTGGAGTAATTATACTTTTTTCGTTTTGTATAGTTACGTTGTTTGTTAGGCGAGAAAATTACTCGTTTCAGAAAGGAAATAATCACCGAAGGTTAATTATTCGAGAAAAACGGAAAACAAACTTTAAACTGTTTATTTCGCTTTAGTGAAGGTTCTTTTGTGGACTTCCGAAATCGATAAAAACAATTTACGAAGAATTTCGCAATAACCTGTAGATAACCTATTCAATGTCGAGAAAACTCCCGGTTAATTTAACATTTTAAATTATAAGGAACAATAATTGCACTAAAAAAAAATCAACATCTGTTATTCCGTTTTATTTATTTAATTTAAAGTTAATGATGCTTGAAGTATCTAGCATCGAATTACCTACCTCATTTTAGGTTATTTTTCATTTCAATTATATTAACTAAATTGGTATTGAAGTGTATATTTAGCCTAATTCTCAAAAAATTACTATAATTTAATTCGTACTACTTATCTATGCAAGTAAAATTTATACCAAAGCAATCAAATTTTCATAACGCAAACCAAGTCAGTTCAAAGCTTGATATTTTTTTCTATTTGTACACACGTAAATAAAACTTCAAAGTGCTTTATATTAACAAAAAAAAAGGCGCACGAAACAAAAATCCCGTGAAAAAAACCCGCCGGGCGAAATGGGAACGTTCGAACTCGTCGAATTAGAAAATTCGAACTTTGAAAAAGGCCAGCTCAACTTTTCAACAAATAAAGTAAAATTAATAGGTAAACTGGCGGGAAAAAAATTCTCTCTAACAACGCTAAACTTGTAATTGGTTGCACAAAGTAAATCATACAGTAAGCAAAGCAGCTCAAACGACAGAACAGACACGATCCGATCGATATTCAATTATTAAAAGTTCACGTTCCGTTTCACATGCAATTTACAAAAAAAAAAATAAATAGCGCGCGCGCGGAGAGAGGGAGCTATACAGAGCTCAAAAAAAAAGAAACTACAAATGTTCACGGCTTGCTAAAATATACTTTCTGCACGATAACCAATATTTGCCAATTGTCTATCGGCAAAGTTTTTCTTTGTACAATTATTTGCCTTGAATTCGATGGAAATTGAGGAAATTTGCATTCCAATTTCGATTGTTCGTTCGCATTTCATTTTCGAACAAACTTACCGTAGGTGGCGGAAAAATAATTATAAAAATACACACGAACTCACCAGGTAAATCGCAATCAATACAAATTTTTCTCGTTTATTCCAGAAAATTATTAGTTATAAACTTTTAGTACGAGGGTAGGATGAAAAGTTCTCGGACTGAATCAGTTTAGAACTATTTAGTATAATCTAGAACTCTCCAGAATCATTTATAACTGTCTATAGAACCAAAGATTTCGACTTAATAAGAAGAATAATGTAATTTTTCAACTGAAAATGGCGGTCGTTCGTTGTCAGGCCGAGAACTTTTCCCCTAACCCTTGTAACAAAAGTTTTATAACATGTGTCGTAAAAAACCGAACGAGAAATCATGAATCATGCTTACTTACTGAAAGAGTGGATCAATTTGGTAATAATTAGTTTTATAGGGACGTTGTGTATCTTATTTATGCGGAAAATTTATAAGCAATGAACGGAAAATCGCCCCCTTTCGACTCGTAAAAGTCCTGTTTTATTCTGCAGTTTTCTTTCATATGCGAGCGTACATAAATTTTGTTGCGTTGGTTAAATACCGGCATATACTTGCTTTCAAATAAATTGGTTTCTTTTTTTGGCCAAAAGCAACTTTCCTTGGAATAAAACCGGGAAGTTTGTGTGCTTAGTTTCCAAGGTGGAATTTGAAAATATTTTTACGAGATGGTTTTCTATGTAAAAATTACGGTTTATTTTGAAGTATTTTCGCGTTTCTTGCGAAACTTTTATTCCGTGGAAATCGCAAAAAACGATGCGGTGTATGTTTCAGGAATGGAAAACTTTATTTAAACTAACATACTTTTGGAAATTATTTTTTCTGCTTCTCCTTGGGGCTGCTGATGATTTTATACATGTTGTCTAAACCCGATACTACTATTAAGAATATTCCAATGTATTCAGCAACTACAAAATATGCATTGTAATATTTATTTAGGCATATTAAAAAATTCACTTACTTTCCAATGGACTGATTATTTTGCCCATTTAAATTAGTTTAAACAAAGTTTCCACAAATTGCGAAAATGTGTGACATTGATTGCTCTATTTGCATTTTAATTTGACATTTGCATTAAAATTTAAAAGAAGAATAAAGCTCAATTTTCATGTCGAAATGAATTTTTAGTCGAATATTTATTATTTGGCTGTTTTTATGCAAATGGTATTTTCATTAATATCACTCTATTAATGCAAATTATTTGAACAATTGTTTAATTATAGCAAATGGAATCCAGAAATGTCTAAAACAAGGTTGAAATAATATCAATAGGTCATTAAAAATTATTTCCATCGATGTTTAGAAGAAACGGGCCTCTTATAAGACGTAACTACAGCTTATTTAAATCATCTTTTTATAAAAATATTTTTAAATTACAGTTCTAAAACTCGGCGCAATCACTATTATAGTGATATGTGGATTGAATTTTATCAGAGATGTTTGAAAAGCATTTTTTAAATCACTTGGAACATCAGTCTTTGAAGTAAGTCAATAACTTTTATCATATTTTATATGATTTGTTTTAAACGTCTAAGGAACTTCAGATAAATTATCGTCTAACATTTTCACGTATGCTCAGAAAACGTAAGTGAAATTAATTTGCTTAAAACTTCGTTTTTAATAATTTTTATTTCTAGTTATCAAAATCGGCGCTATCACTTTTTTAGTTCTAGTGGGATTGCAAATAGTACGAGATCTTTGAGAAATGGGAACTTATTAAAGATTCATGAAATATTTTAGCGACCTATTTATTATTTTTGGAACGAATAAAATGTAAAATTAACAAGTCCTTTGCTTAGTTAGTATTTATTTTTATCAGGTTACATTTTCTTGTAATAGTAAATATAATTATATTCTGCTAATTAAGCCTAATGCTGTTACTATCAACAACATTCCTGCTCCGAGTTTAATAACTAAAAATAAATAGAAGTGCATGATTATCTGGAATATATTTAAATTAAAATATTTACATCTGAAGAAACATCCTCCCATATTTGCGTATTAATCAACTTGACATCTACTCAGATTTCTTCTTTTTTAAATTACCTGCCTATTGTTCCAATAATTTCCCTCTCGAAAAGAACTCTTATAAATAAAACGCAATTACAATCTAAATAGATAACATTCAACAGTTCCATCTGCTTCCCGAAATTATTTCCGTTCCATTCGTTTCATTTACATCTGTGTATATAAATAAAAAAACCAAATTCAAACTGGGAAACTTTTAAGGTCCCAAAAGGCCAAATGAATCAAGCGTATAAATAATACAAACGATCTTTTTGAAACTTTTTCCACTCATATCTTTACTGTTGGCCCGTAATGGAAAACATATTTCACCGAAATGTCCCATTTAATGTAGCCATAATTTAATGGCAACGTCGCACTTTCTCTCCTTCCTTCTCATTTGGTGCGGGAAATCGGGAACGTACTCTCCACATTTAATTCTACTTCTTTTTTCTATTTTCTTAGTTAGAATTCGTGTTTTATTCAGCTACGCCAATGCTAATGAACGTTTCTGGAAAAAAATTAAAATATTTACACAACTAGGGCACCGCATATCAATTAGCCGACGACGTAGCGAAAAAAAAATAAATCTCCGAGTAAAACCTTTCATTACCTTTATTATTTCCATTAACATTGTTTTGTAATTGATGTTTTGAAATCGATATATCGAAGACGTACGGGCTATGATTTATAGCTTATTGGTATAGATAGATGAATGTGTAATTATTTTACGAGATGAGATGTTGCATTATCTTTGTCGCTTTCTTATTTTGTAAACTCGCGTGCAACCGTTTTTTTTTTCCTCTTCAACTTCTAGGAGAATTGTCGAATTCAACTCGACCAATAACTAATTTTTAACCATAATTATTATTCTCGTGAAATTTATTATGTTTCTATAGAAATTAACGTTCGAACTTGTTTTCTTAACCGAGGTTTTGAATAAAAAATGGCGCATAAATTGTACGTTATTACAATTAGTGGTAGAAAATAATTATAAGTATGATGGCGATTCGCAGATTCACACGGATCGAGAATTGAATATTAAATTGACGACTGTTAAGTTAACTTGTAAACTTGTTAACAACACGCATTATAATTTTTATTTTTTATACAAAGATAACGAGCAATTATATCAATTGTACGTTGTGAATATTATATTATGCAGTATACAGTGCGTTTTTAAAGTCTTTAGTGGAGGTAAGGATACTTCATGAAGGCACTATATTTGGCAAATTTGTGTAAGGTGCACTAGCTTACTTATTTATACATTCTCTTAACCCCGGGATCGTTGGATCACATTATGATATGGTTTTATTTGCATGAAATATCGTCAACATCCCATAAATTCACTCCCTTAGATCATAAAACCATCCGATGCCTATCTGTAATTCGATAGCTAAAGCTGCCCCTACACTCTCCATTTTCCCTCCCACATGTGTATTGATAATTAACGATTTATAGACTGAATTAAAATAAATAGCGAGCGTTTAATCTTGTGTTTATCGATGAATTTATTTAGAAATAAAATAGTTGAAATGTGGGAAATTTGTTGGTCTTAAAAGTAAGTCGTGTGTGGTTAGCCATAGCTCACGCATAGTTTGTAGCTTACCCTAAATATTTATTTTCTTTATGGTCCTTTTGTAGCCGTTTATTTCCCATGCTTAAATTGGCTAATCGGCTCCTGTGAAGGTTTTATGGACTGGCTATATTCGTCGATAACAGTTTTTAATATAATAAAAAATTCAATAACACTCGGCGAATTTCGTGAGAGGGACCTTTCGCATGAAAGATATTATAATTATCTATTTAAATAATTTATTAAAATATGCAATTGGGGGGCGGCTCGAAATTCGGGTATCCATCGATTCGGTGTTTTGCCGTGTGTGCGCGTTGTTTTTGCGATGTGATATTTTATATTGGACATTTTGATTAGAAATTCCTGTTCGTTTTATATCTTTTCATGTATTATTAGAGCCGTATTCTTTTCTGCTCCGTCGAAGTCTCAATATTCAGTTCAATCATAAATTCCCATTCAATTTCGAGCATGAATGACAAATTTCGCATTGAAATGAATATTGCCTGTAGCCTATTGATTTTGCGTGTACTTTATTTCACTTTATTGAGATATCATTTATGTTGCCAGCGAAAATTCGACGGCTAATTTTATTTGTTCTCTCCTCTTTTTTTCTCCTTTCTGTTTTAAGTTCGTTCTTTCGAGCACTTTCGGGTTAATAATAATTAATTATTTTTAGTTGACTTATTACTTTGTTACCTGTTTTTCTAGCTAGTTGGGTTTCTCGAATATACTGATAACACGAAATCCCTTATATAAAAATGCCTTCTAAGTTTACGATAATTGTCGGATAATAAAATTAAAGATAATGACTTGGGACTTTTTAAACATTTTGTTTATTCAACATTCCCCGTTTTATGCCACTATAAAGGATTTAATTAAAAATGTGCCCCTCTTAATGGAGGCTTTTAAATTTTATCGGTGATATGATGTTCTCGAAATTTATAGTTTCCTTAATTTCGTGACCGTATAAATCCTACATTGTCTCAATAGTCTTTTTCTACATACTAATACACCATTCGCGAAATCATATTTCGTAAGTTTTAATATTTTGTTGCGGATCGGGGAAAATTAAACAGGAAGAAAAGGGGTTTTTAATCAGTAGAAGCAACCAATATTTACTCTGCTTTAATACCGTTCTCAACTAAAATATTTACAATTCGAAACGTATTTAACGGAAACTCTTCCAGACAATATTAGTATAACGCTAAAACCTGGAAATGTATGTACAGAATTAACTTTAATTCTGGATAACCGGAGGAATTCGCAATTCGGAAAGGTAGAATAATGAAAATTATTTTCGCGTGTCGTTAGTTTCGTCGACTTTTACTGCCGGTTTTCAAATGCCGAAATTACGTTATGCTGACAATAAAAACGGAATGAATTTTAATATTTAATCCGTCAAATTTGGACATAAGGGGTCACGAATGAGCCGGGAAATTTATTTAGAATTTTGCGCTCTCTGATGTGCCTATTTTATTTAGATTTAATATCCGAGTTTATAATTAAATATACATATCTATTTTATCGATTACCTATATAATTTAAATTTAATTAAACTATACAAACTTTTATAAAATTCAATTAAAAATGATGGAATAATTTTTTCCCGCGTCCGATGGAATTAATTGCGTTATTTTTCACTGTAATACAATAAATATTTTTTCAACGGAAAATTCGTACATGTCTGATATAAGTAAAAATCAATGTTTTCAATTTATCCAGTCTAATTAAAAATTAAACCGAAAATTAATGAGTGCGTTCATTTGTATGCAAAATAGAACATTATTTTTTGCAATTATCGGAATTGTCATTTTAAATTTAATTTGAACGGATTAAAAATTAATTTGCGTATTATCTAGAAAATTTAATATGCGCATTTTTTATAAAATATCCATTAAAAATTTTATATTGCTATATAAATTAATCTGAAAGCTGCAGGGAAATTATTATCGGCGCTGATTTCATTTCCATCGTGTTATGAGTCTCTTTTTTTATTTTTCCAGTCTGCCGGCATATTTTTTAATCAGCTTAAATAAAATTACCGAAAGTTATTTGCATCGAACTGGCAATATCATTGATTTAATTAAAATGCTGAAACGAATTTCAGTCTTATAAGCGAACAATCAAATTTATCCCCGAAAAGTATTTTGATTCCCGTTTCATTATCAAAAGTTACAAGCAGAAAAAATGGCCGAAAGTATTTTGTAGTTAGGGAAGAAATAACAAAAATAATTCCGAGCTTCCGTTTATTGTTTAGGATTCCGAAGTTGGGCCATAAAAGTTTAGGAAAAACTCGGAAATAACGAAACTTTGTTCTGTGGAACAGATAGAGTATTAGTGCGTTACAGGCAAATAATTTCATCTAATTTATTACGAATTGTTAGTACATTTTATTTGAATTTTAGTCTATTTTAATTGTACTTAAAAAGCAATCATTTTATAGTTGAGCTGTTCAATAAATTCTCTTCTTTGCGCGTCGATCTAATTGAATTTCCCCACTTTATTCCGGGGCTATTGAATTATGTAGAATTCGACAAACCTAATATGAAACTTCGCATTAGTCGACTTTGTCGTAACAAACGACTTTTAGCGATATTGTATAATTAAATTATTTCGGCTTGTGCCGGACGCTCAATTTAAAGTTACGACCATTATTAAAGTCGAATGTAGTTAGAGCACACTTGTAGTCTCCAAAGGATTTTCGTTGTCGGTCGCAGAAATAAACCGAAATGATAACGAAAAAGTTATATAAAATATCCACAAAAGGGACTCGAAATCTTCGGAACTTTTCGATCGCTTCACCAAAAAGTTTGATTACATTGTTTGTTTATTTACGGCGGAATTGAAACTCGCCAAAGTTCATTAAAAGCGTACACTCGTTACAATATTTTTTTCTGCTTTATACTACAGCTTTTTTTAACTAAGAGTATCCTTCGCTCGGGAGGAGATCTTTTACGAATTGTTTGTATATTTCTTACGCAGAAAAGGAAACAACAGAACGGAGTGAATGTAATCTTATCGAAGAGGATCTACATATTTATTGCGCCATTAATTCGAAGAACATGCCATTGAATTTTAAATCATTTAAATCGGGGACCGTAGGCTGTATTTATTTTAATATTCCATTATGTCGGATTAACCGGCTTTTCGAAAATATAATGTGTCGG